GCTCTCGGATTGCTTTTAGTTATATATCTAATAGTTCGTTTCTGTAGAATAAGCACATTTTCTAAACAATTTTGGGAATAGACACACTCAATCTATTTTCAAATAAGTAACTGCTTAAGGCTGTGCTTTTCCCTCTACTTTGTAACTAAATCTTTGCAAGTTGAATGAGCAATTTGTCTATATGATTAGTAAAATCTAATTTATATGGTGAGACCCAAAAATTTGATGGTGTTTGTTTTGTGTATCAATTCATTATTTAAATGTATAAGATCAAGGGAGCATTTAATAGTCATAAACATTGACGGTCAAGTAAATGTTGTGATCATTATTTGATTTTTGGAAACAAGGAATTTACCGTTTATGTTTAGGTTTATTAAATCATTGATATAAACTAAGAATAGGATCGGACCTAATATCGATCCTCGAGGTACCCCTGCGTTTATTTTGATTTATTTGAAATATAATGTCGGTTATTTAAATATGTTTTGAACCTATTGAGTGAAGTTCCAGTACAACCGTATTTGTTCAATTTTTTAATAGAATATTTTTTGATTTACACAGCCAAACGCTTTGGAAAAAATAGCTATTGAAATTTGTTTATCGTTTAAATTTGAGTACAACTGTTGGATTAATGTGAAAATAGCATCCATGGTATTTTTTGGTTTTTGAAATCCAAATTGGTGGTCCCTTATATTATACTTTGTTGGTTTTTAGAAAGTCTCTTAATCTAATTGGAACTATTTTTTCTGTTACTTTGGCTATAATAGCAATCAAACTTATGGGTCTATAATGTTCAGGTAAATCGCTTGGACTTCTTTCATAAATAGGAATAACTATTGATGTTCTTAAAGATTCTGGATAAACACCTGTGTTAGGAGAAATATTTCTGTGTGCGTATTAAGAGCATCGAGTGAAAGATTAGCTACAAAATTTACAAGAATTTCACCAATGCTTGATGATCTTTTACTTTTGATAGATCTTAATACTAATTGGAGTTCATAAATATCTGTAACATCAAGTAAAAATTTATTTTATATATATATATATATATATATATATATATATATATATATAAATAACAAAAAGTAGGAAAGTAATGGGCAAAATCCGCAAAAAGGATGAAAGTGGATTCGAGCAGAAAATAGGATAGGTAACCTGAGCGATACGTATTTCTGCTGGTTGGCTTCATCAGGCCCGAAATTAATGTACATATGCAATTACAAAAGTAGATAGACATGTCCACACATCCGTATACGGGTGTAACCTGAGGAAACAAAGATGGAAAGGGAAAGAATCGACACACGAAGTCCACAACAAGAGCCAACCTACACATCGTAGTATAAAATGGCTACAAGACCTCGAATTTTCAAGGAGACATCTAACCACAACCACGCGGCCGGTGACAGCTACTCGCTGTGGTACTTTAAGCCCAAAGAATCTACAAAGAGGAAACGATCATGCGAAGAAAGGTATATATCCCATTATTTTCCTACTATTTGTTACATACCTTTCTCAGCATGATCATTTTCTCTTTATATATATATATATATACAGGGTGTTCCATAATTATTGCGACAAAATGATAGGGGTTGTAGAGGGCATCAAAATGAACAATTTTGCCTTATAAACCCCTGTTCGGAAATATGCCGTTTGGGCTGCAGCAAAAAAAAATATCAGTTTCTTGAAACAGCTTACCTACAGTAATTGCTCAAAGTGTCCTCCACCTTGCTCAATACACAGCTGTGCACGATTGTTCAATGATCGGCGAACTCTGTGGCATACCCCCGGTATGTCCTGAACATGTGCGGCCGCGGCCATCACTCTTCCCAGTAGCTCTTGTTGGTTGGGAACAGGAGTTTCGTACACTAAAGCTTTCAGATGGCCCCAGAGAAAATAATCCAGTGGGGTCAGATCGGGTGACCGCGCAGGCCAAGGCACAGGGCCACCTCGGCCTATCCACCTATTTGGAAATTTGTCGTCCAAATACTGCCGCACTTGTAAAGAAAAGAAGGCTGGAGCGCCATCGTGCTGAAACCACATGTTGGTTCTTATGTTCAGTGACACATTTTCTAATAGTTCCGGTAGCACATGCTGTAAGAATCGACCATAAGCATGCCCATCCAAACGTGGTGGAAGCAAATATGGCCCGATGATATGCTCGTCCACAATGCCGCACCAGATGTTAATTGAAAACTGATGTTGGTCTCTATGGATGGCTATGGCATGAGGGTTTTCTTCATCCCAAATGTGACTGTTACGGCTATTAAAATAACCGTCCTTTGTAAAACAACAGGACTCGTCAGTGAACAAAACGTAGCGACCAAAGTTTGGTTGCCTCAACTCCTGCTGCAGCCACCAACGACAAAAACGTCGACGCGGCAGATGGTTTTCTGGACGCATGGCTTGGACTTTTAAAAGGTGGTATGGGTGTAGTTGCTGGTCATGGAGAACCCGCCAAACAGTAGTTTGAGATGCTCCCATATCATGTGCAATAGCACGCACGCTTGTACGCGGATTGGCCTCTACATGATGCAGAATCGCTTCCTCAAATTCTACTGTGCGCCTCGTGAAGGGCCGCCCTGCTCCCGCGAGGTGTCTGATGCTGCCACTGACACGAAGACGTCCATGAATCCTTGCAAAAATGGCGTGATGCGGATGAGGACGTTCTGGAAACCGTTGGGCGTCGATTCGCGAGGCTCGTCTTCCGTTACCACCAGCTTCTCCGTAAATTAAATGCATATCCGCAAGTTCCGCATACGAATACCGCTGCATTTTAACACTAAGGTACTGTTATTTACTATCTAGTTTGACGCACCACTCAGATAAATTATATGAATCGGTGTGGAGAATTTACGATAACAAAAATGTAAACACAGCAGGCTTTTTTTACGAACCGGCGAGACCATGAAATGTGCTAGACGAACATTTTGCAGCTGGTGAATTTTTTGTTTCTCCTATGAGCTCTTAAGGTAAAATTAGCGGTAGTGCTCAAACGGCATATTTACGAACAGGGGTTTATAAGGCAAAATTGCATATTTTTATGCCCTCTACAACCCCTATCATTTTGTCGCAATAATTATGGAACACCCTGTATATATATATATGGTTTAAATTTGTTAACGGATCATTACTATTTCGTATAGTATTTTTTAGTTTTTCTGCTATTGTGCAGTGATAATTGTTTAATACTGAAGCTAAAACATGATTATACCTGTAGGTACTATATATACGAGAAAAAATTGTTATAACTGATTGTACTGCATTCGTCATTTTACACAAAACTTGAGATATGACAAAACGGTGACACATAGGCATACATGAAATATATTTAGAATCCCGCATAGAATCCGAACGTTGTATAATATACAGGGTGATCTACTTACTTGAAAAACGCAAGTTGCTACAAGCGGGGGTGCAACCATATTGGTAATACCTTAGACAAAATGCTCTAATCGTTTATACAATAAACCCGAATTTGAAACTACTGTCTTACGTTAAATTTTTGAGTAATCGTTCACTACAGTTCTGTGTTGGATATCCTATATCTCGTATTCGATAATAAAAACGAAAAACTTATCATGTTACTCTTAAAGTGTATCATTTCTTTAAGAAATCACGGGTATTGACGACTTGTAGGAACTGAAGCTTCTAGTCACCCATATCGCTATGATCACAAATCACATGGTAAGCATCTTAGAGTTCATCGTGCTCATCAACAACCAGGGCAAAATAGCTTACCTAAAAAGAACTCTCCAAGATCAAAGCCTTTCATATGACGACTGTACTAAATCTGAAGAATTAACAAATAGATCAAAATCCTTCTACGAAAGAATATCCATAGTGAGCTACTTTGTATATTGGATGGTAGGCACCTCAGCTCACATGTCCGCCTTGAAAGCTTTGAATGTTGGTATGCCTGAGGAATATTTCGATGAGAATTCTACTTGTTATGACTTCATGCCGCATTTATATCTCATTCCTTTTGAGACTGAGACCACAAGACGTTGTAAAAATGCTCTTATGACTATGGATTTTGGCTTGTGGATCTTTGCTGGATACATTGCAAGTAAGTGTTTATACTATGAGAATTCGAATATAAAGTCTAGTTGATTAGTCCTGTACTTAACACGCATTGAGATAAATCCAATGGTTCTCTAGACTGTTTTTGGCGGATACATTACAACGCCATACGACATAAGTAAACAAATTGACTGACAATATCATGTGCGAAGCTTAACTTCCCTAAGGGAAACTGTACACTGCTCATTAACGCAGCTGCTACTGGCTCTTACACACACAGGTCAGCTGGGTGATAGAAGACCGTTGTCTTCATTGACTTTCCCAAAAGATGGCGTCAAGTAAGTTAACTCTGCACTTTCCACGCAACGCCGTCATCATTTCATAAAGGATTATGTTCAGCACAAGTTAAGACCTCTGAGAGAGAAGTTAGTCACGAACGTGTATAAAAAAAAATTAAACGGATCAAGTCAGTTAAATGGGTCCATACAACTAGTCCATAGATATTCTTTCCCTGCCCTTTCGGTAGTCCATCTGGCAACGTCGCCTCTCTCCGATTCCTAACCGGTCAGATGCGGCAGCGTGGAAAGAGCACCAGAACTCTTGCCAAGACCGGCCCGTCGTCGGGAGCAGAGTCAGACGCATATCGAAAACATTTCTCTGTCAAATTTTAAGGGCAAATGTACGGGGAAATCTGATGCGTGAGGTATGTCTAATAGGTGAGTAGAATTACCATCAAATTGAAATAAACCCTACTCTATCCCCATACAGAACCTAAACCCACTAGTTTTTGTAACCCTGAAAACTTTTTCAAAAATAATCAGGATCATCTAAAACGTCAAATAACACAGTTGGAGCGATTTTTATTTTTTCGTTTTTGCTGTTTCTCTGTCGCAACTGGACCGATTTCCAAAAACTGCAAAGCTCAAAGGCTGTGAGATAAAACAAAAAAGAAACGGTATGTGACAGTGACTGTAGGTCCCTTTCAACTTAGTGTCACCAACTATTCAGGAAATCGTGGGAAGTACGAGCCTCCAAGACTTTTTGAAGGGTAGAAGGAGGCAAATTTTCCTTGAGGCGGCCAAATCAGAGGTTTTATGATTTACAAAAAATGTGTTTTGAACTTGAACTAAGACTTTTCATCTTCTTTTCGTAGCTCACGATACAATGCTTTACTCATTCGTGAGCTGTATCAGAGCCAAACTGGATATTCTGAGTGTAGCTACAAGGACTATGCGAGAACGGACTAACCTGAGGATGAATCTGCCAGAAGGTCTTCAACTTATTCATGATGAAGACATACCAGAATTTGAGATGGAGATGTATTTTGAGGTGAAGAGAAGTAATCAGATTCTCATGGTCTTACTAAGGTAATTCATGAAATACTGATTATTAATATTATTTAAAGCAGCTCCTAAGATTGCCCTTTTTGCTTGTTAAAGAAAAACATTAAATGTCTTGTAAAGATATCAGGTAGCCAAAAAAATTCGTGCGGTTTTTAGTGGGAAAATATAAATTTTTATTGAGAAACAATAAGACACTATTTATTCGTCGAGGTAATTACCATCATATATATATTCAATGACATTTTTCCAACGTGGAACCAATTTTTGTATGCCGATATTGCAGAACTTCCTGGATTTGGAGTCTAAAAATTGGCGGACTGCATTTATTACAACATCTCGAGTTGTGAACTGTCGGTGCCTCATACAGTTGTCAAGAGACAAAAAAGGTAATAATCACTGAGCTAAATGTCGGGAGAATATGGCGAGTGCTGTAACGTTTCCCAGCCGAGTTCAGAAATTTTTTCTCGGGTCACTTTTTGCGGTATGAGGCTTGGCGTTATCCTGAAAGAATATCACTTTCTTCCAATTGATCAAATAAGGCTGTTTCTAGATGAGTGCTGCTTGTACTCGTTGAAGCTGCCCACAATACAAGTTAGCAGTGATGGTTTGAAACTTTTCCAAAAACTTATAATGGACAATCCCAGTTGCTGTCCACCAAACACACAACAAAATCTTGTTTGAGTGCAAGGAAGCCTTGTGTGTGTGTGGTACCGAGTCAGTAGGTGACAACCATTGATACGAACGCTTAGAATTCGAATACAAGATCCATTTTTCGTCGCAGGTTAATAACCGATTAAGAAATGGTCCATAAGCGCTGCGTGAAATGTTTGCTGATGAAGATGCAAACGAATAGTTTCAGAACCCACTCTGAACATTTCTGCAAGTTCTTGGCACGTTGTCCTGGAATTTGCGTCCACAATCTGTCGAAGATACTCGTTGTTCATGATTTTTGGTCTCCCTGAACGCAGTTCATAGCTCAAACTGAGATCTCCCGAAGAAAATTGCTTTAACCACTTCTGAGCTGTTCGATAACTAACGGCATCATCTCCGAATGCGATACATAGTTTTCGCGCCGCCGCTGCAGCTTTTGTACGAAGTTTGTACTCATACAGTAAACAACTTCGAATTACTGTTTTATTCGTTGTCATTTTCAATTATTAAAACTAGGTAACTAACAATGTTCAGCAACTTTTTATGTGTGTGAGAAAAGAAGGATTCATGCTAAAGTGGCAACAGGTAACAAACAATCGCTTTCGATCAACAACATCCATGGCAATGTTCGATGTACAGCAGCTGCACGAACTTATTTGGTGATAATTCATAAAATAGTTAATCAAGGCAGAACAAAACTAGCACTTACAATATTTGCCCTTTTCTGTCACTGCAATGCTGAACTAGATCAAATTCTGATAATCCCTGATGTTTGTCTGGCCGAATCAAACCACATATGTGTTTAAAATTCCTCTTTATTGTACGACGTTTCGACATTTTGACTCAAATTTCGCATACAAGGAGGGTTGTTACAAAATGTTTATTTGAAAGAGCCAAACAAATGTCAGCAAATACGTCAATCTTCTATAGAGAAAAGTTTTTTCTGGAAAAGATACTTTACAGTGACCGTTATCCTCAAAAATCAAGATAGCTACCTACTACATCCAATAAATTATGTATACCATACATATGAAGCTTATCTGAAAGACTTAGAGGTGTTTGCAAAAACTTAATATCAGAGCTGTCTTCAAAACAACTAACACACTAAGATTCCTGCTCTGCCACACACAACCTACTGATGGAAATATAGATATAGATATAAAAATTGAATATATAAAATAGACCGTGACTGCGGTAAATGCTACATTAGTGAAACATCATGACCTATTAAATGTAGAATTAAATAGCGTAAAAAAGGGAAAAGCTTCAAAATAGGCACTTAGGGTGGAGAGCACAAACCAGGAGAATCCAAAGCCAAATTAGTATATTACTGGAAATATTTTAACTAGTGACATGAGGTATCTTGTATATGACTGATGAGATGGTATTTCTAATACCATGGCTACATACTTCTACTATATTCATATATACGAAAAGGTCGCACCCCCATTTGTGACTCTCCTGGTATATTTTGAGAAACATTTACATTTTAGATTTATAAATGGAAACCCCCATTTTTTTATTTTTAAATAAATTTAGTAAGTTGTTTTTTTAATACTCGTAGATTTGTTTTTAATTAAAAGTAAAGTCTGGTTACTATGGGGATTATATCGATTATTATTTTTATGTTATATTCCCTTATTTCTTAAATTTCGTTATAAACTCAACCGGCTTCACAACGATTGAAGATATGTATAAACTTTATTATACAAAAGTTACTAAGACCCTAAAATATAAGAATTAAAAAAATGTTCAAAAACCCTAAGGTGTAATGCAATATCTTATTTTTGGATCACGTTGTATTGTATGACTAAATGAAAAGACGTCCCCCTAGAAATCAAAATTGACGTGTCGGAGCGTTTTTCCCAAAATATACCAGGTGAGTCACAAATGTGGGTGCTACCTTTTCGTTGGCCCACTCTGTATAACATACAGTCACCAATTTCATTTATTTTCAGCCACAAACTAATTTAGTTTTGAATTCTCGTGTATGGTGCTCACCACCCAAAGCGAGCTTGTATGGGAACACGCACATATGGTTAAATGGGAGCAAGTCCCAATATTACCCAAGGAAGATAGCAATTACAATAGGAAGGTAAATGAATCAGCCTATATAAAATTAAACGACAATTGTAGTTCCTCTATGGACTGTGACCCAGTTTGGTAGGGTCTCCTAGAAAGAAAGACCTAAGGGATTTTTATTGTTTGTTATAAGATCTTAAATACGTCGTTTACTTCGTTATCTCAAGGCCAAACTGCTGTGGCTTATATTATTTCCTCCCAAGACAACCAATATGGTTCCTTTTAGACGTCGAATTACTATTTCTTGCATTTCAGTACCATAAACAAGGCACAGACATCATTTTAGTCAACTATTGCATGGCGATTAAACGGTTTGATACAAGAGTTCCAGGTATGTTTTTGCATTTTCTGAGGACTTTTGTTGTTTTCGGGACGATGGATAAGGGTGACGTGTCCGGTATAATAATTAACAACAGATAACATCATGCTTGTTTGTTGCTTTTGAGAGCTGGATCTATATACTTTACGTACTTTAGGCAGTCAGGGATTTGCTGGTATTGCGCGGTGACGGCTTTGTGCAATCTCAGCATTGTAGTAATACAGTGTATAGGGATGTAAAAATGAAAGAAAAAAACAAACAAAGTGTAACATGGAAAACAGATAAATAAAATGTGTATATTGTCAGCAGTCTCAGTTGTACCTCAATAAATAATAGTTTAAAAAAACTGAAAAACACACTTTTATACTTAACCGAACTAAAAATTAGGAAATAATTTTTAATTATAAAGAGTTTATATTACAGTAGTAGATGGTCGAACAATCGATCATGATTAATGACCTCAAAATAAAATTATAACAAGATTTAAGTTATTAACAGAATAACTCAATTCAGGGTAAAAAGCGTGAGATATATATTAAATATTATCGTCATTCCATCTATAAGAGGAGAGTCATGAAAATGTAGTAAAAAATCTTAAATTTTGTTATAATTTTATTTTGAGGTCATTAATGATGATTAATTGTTCGACCATCTACTATCTACTGTCACATAAACTTTTTGTAATTAAAAATTATTGCAGGCAGGCCAAGATGATATAAGCGTATTAAAAAGGCTACCATTGGAGCCGAAATGACGAACAATAAAGATAAATTTTAAACATATATGGCTTGGTTCGGCTAGGCAAATACGTGATAAATTTCAGATTTTTACAGCAAACAAAGACCTACGGCAGTAATTATCATTTCAGTAACGAAAAAGCCTACATTGAAGAAAACCGATTGCTTTCAGAAGTATTCTTCTTCTGTGAGTGAAACACTAAGCCCCGATCTTACTAAGCGGAGCGCAAAATTGCGGCACAAACTCAACCAATAAAAGAGCATTGTTGATGCAGTGAATTCGAGGAATATAATCGATTTCTTGTAAATTCTCGTATCTCTCAAACTAGAGAAAAATTATATCTATCGGCAGGGGCAATGGGAATGGCAAATTAGGGAATTTTCCTACTAAATCAACAAATTCTTCATAAATCACCTGGTTTAGCTACAAAAAGACAGCTTTTCGTTTGAGCCCCGACACAAATTTTGCGACTATGGCCAGCCTCCAGCGATCAAAAAGAAGGAAGTAGTTCTGAAAGTATGGACAAAATCTGACACAATACCTAGATTGATATGACAGCAATTACTGAGTATTTTATTAAAATAACAAGGATGTATCTGGTCAGACAAACTAGGTCATTGATTTTTCTCCTTGCGGTACAAAATTCTGCTTAACACATTCTTCGAAGACACAAATCACAGGATGCTCATTCTTCGACAAACATCGAGTATGTATTCAATTTACCTGACTTCCGTACGAAAAACCCTATTTCATGATAACTACTTTCATGGTCAACGCGTATTCAACTATGGCTTAACTACAAGGAGCTCTCGCTCTCGTACGAGACAGAGGAATGACTGTGCCACGTCTTACCGTAGCTTGTCAAGATGTCGCGTAGTCGTTTCCTGGTTCAGTAGAGTGCACGATAGCTCTTTGGAGTTAAATCTGGAAAATTAGCGCTAATCACGTGTTGACCATAAAAGTAGTTAGATAAAAACTAGGTTACTTGCACGGTAATATCTTTATACGAAAGCAGCCGCGTAGGCAGAGGCCTAAATACCGGAGCTCCGCGGCCGCTATGTAAAGCTTAACGTTCTACATAAAACAGGATGCAGTTGTCAAAATGTAATTTAGAATTTCTTTTCAACTTTCAGTTGTTCAGTTTGTGCCTACCAAGTCACACCTTTGCCTAGTGTAAGACCCATTTGCCCATGTTAGCCCATGGTATCGAAACATCACCCCGAATAAACGGCAGGATCAGTCATGGGTCATGTAGTCGGGCGGCAGCACCCCAAACGTGTTATCTGGACACTGTATAGAGCTTAGAGGTTATGTGGCACCATTGCTATGATTGATCTGGCCGTCTGCCAATCACAACAGCCACAACCAACAACCAAGCACCCATCACCAGGACGCAGGTATATCCACGCGTGTTGAGTCAAGTGAATATTTACCTAATGTTTGTTAAATAACAAACATAATATGTTCTTATTATGCCTTTACAAAATTTGTTAAGCAGAAAGTGGTACAGCAAGGACAGATAAAAAATAGTCTAGTTTGACTGACCTGATAAAATCTTACAAAGAGAAAAGGTTTTTGTAGATAACCTCAATGGACATGATGATGGATTGTAAAAATCATATTCTTTTTTGATTATCACTTTCAGTTAAGTAGTGACAGTATTTTCAATAAAATGCTCAGTAGTTGCTGTCAGATCAAATCAGGTTTGACCCATGTTTCGAGCAGGCCGCAACTATATTGCAAATCATCCGTTTTGATTGGTGGAATTTGCGTCTGGGTAGCTAATTTTGTGTCCAGGACCAAATGAATAAATAGGTTATTGCAGCTAAACCAGGTAATATATAAAGTAATTCTTGATTTCATACGAGAATTCACAAATCGTATAATTTTTCGATAGCTTGTGAAAGTGACCATATAATAATTATACTAAGTGACATATAAATCCGAACACCCAGTTTAAATGGTTTTATTTTAATAAAATTTTGTATAAGTACTTGATGAAGCATAATAAGTAAATGATAAAAATTTCAAAATGATTGCACTGCTTTAAAGCCCTTGGACCTTTAATAATGTGTGGATGCACCCTGATGTGCTACGCATTCTCCAATGCGCCTAGGCATGCTTCTGATCAGGTGGTCAATGTCCTCCTGTGGTATCTCATTCCAGGCAACCACCAACTCCTCTCGAAGTGCTTCTAGAGTCTGAGGAGGACGTTGCAAATTGAGAAATCTCCTACCCACCATATCCCACACGTGCTCAATTGGGGATAAGTCGGGAGATCTTGGTGGCCATGGTAACAATGTGACATCATTATGTTGAAAGAAGTCTATTGTGACTCTTGCAACATCTGGTCGGGCATTATCTTGTTGGAAAGTTGGATCTGCCAGGGTGTCAAGATAGGGTAAAAGATGGGGTTCTAGAACTTCGTGGATATTACGCTGCGCGTTCATGTTACCTCCGATGAAGATTAAAGGTGACCTGGAACCATAAGCTATAGCACCCCAAACGGTAACTCTAACAGTGTGATGAACATGTCTTTCTACAAAAAACTGTGGATTCCTCCTTTCACCACGTCGCCTTCTAACCCTGGCTCGCCCATCGTGCATGCCTAAACAAAATCGAGACTCGTCACTAAAGACAATACTGTTCCATTCCTGATCCCAGAGTGACCGTTGTCTGCACCACTCAAGGCGATTACGTCGGTGTTCTCGAGTTAAAGGGAGGACCCAGTGTGGCCGGTATGAAAACAAGCCAAAACTTCTCATTCGTCGGTAAACACTTCGCATGCCAATAGGTTTTCCGTGATCTGCAAACCATTCATTTGCAATGGACCTGGTAGTGGAGAAACGGTTCCTTAAGGCCAATAATCTTAGGCGGCGATCTTCACGGTCTGTTGTTCTACGGCGGCGTCCAGTGCCCCTTGCTCTGCGTACGGCCTTCTCGAAGCCATGCCTGACAACACCTAACCACAGTGTCTACACTTCTTTGCACTCTAACTGCAATTGCCCGAAAAGAAAGTCCAGCTTCCCGAAGTCCCACTATACGGCCCCTATCAAACTCACTAAGTTGACAAAATCGTACAGGTCTGCGTATTCTAGGCATCGTAACCGATCGTAAAGGATGTCAAGAACCAAAATCCGCCAACGTTGATTCTTCACTGCGGCTGAAATATTCATTTTTAGAGCGTTAGTGAATTAAAAAAAAGCAGTATAAAAACCGGAATGTCCAATTGATAAGGCTGAAAATTTTTTCACTTGTTATTTACAGTAAGATAAATACATTCACCAACTTTTATTGAAATAAAACCATTTAAACTGGGTGTTCGGATTTATATGTCACTTAGTATATATTAGTTTCGTTACAAAGAATCATCTCATTAGTCGAATTTGTGCCATAGGTACAAATTTTTATTCACTCGGATCAATGGTAAGATCTGACCTAAGCCATATAACCTCAACTTAGCGGAATGTTTCTCAAAAGGTTGGACTTGGATAATTGTAACGTAACTTTTCGATACAAACAACATCTGAATCGGAATAGGTTGGTTCTGTTCTACAGACTTTTAGCTCATGATACTTTTGAAGCAGTAAAGTATCGTATGTCCACGATTTTCTCTCAACAAGAGGCGTATGCAATGACATCAAACGCTGAAAATGAAAATCCTAGGTTTTGAAATTTTGGTCCAAATACCCTTTTTCGGGTATGTTAACAAGAAAAACATTTTTAAAGTTGTTCCTTTAACATCAGCTTCGCCTCCCTTATATTGACCTTTTGTGAAAGTTTATACATATTGTATATTATTTCATCATTCGATTAAAAATTTTACATATTTAAGCCTAACTTAGATTTTATTGCAGCGCTAGTAAAGGTATAGAAGAAATATTCAACATCACCCTTCTCGCAAGGACCCTTTCTTCGCTTTTAGTGATAGCATCTTGCTTATTTGTCTCTTCAAAATTGACCTTTGAGGACCCTGAGATGTACCACCTGGTCGAGTACTGCAGTGGGGCTTTTTTCCAACTATTCATGATATGCTATTTTGGCATATTCGTTACAGATGCGGTAAATATATTTAACATTTATATTACTCTACGTGCTAATATCTCATTTTTATCGCACTATTTTATGTCATCTATAGGATAGGATGTGATAAATTGGTCACATGTTCTAGGACATTCTGTAGACCTGCGACCACCACCATTTTTTCAATTATGATATTTCGAATTTTGCGTAAAGTTCAATCGATACCGATATGTGTAGCGGCATACCGACAATATTGATCTAACTTGCCGATATACGAATCGGCCAGTATGCGGACAAGACCGACCTATACAAATCAGAAGGTTGAGAAGGACTAGATTTGTTGAATCGGAAAGGTGTCTCGAAAAAAGTGTGCAATATTCTACCAGCGGTTTCTAGACCTTAAAATAGGAAGAAAAGTTTATACAAACATAGGTCGACAAACGTCCCCTAAGGGCGCTACGGTCTTTTAAAGGGGCTCGCCTGAAGATGGTTTTTCCTTAATATTTCCGAAACGTGTTGAGATAAAGACATAAAATTTGGTATTCTAGCTTTATGCTGGATTTAAAAATATTAACAATTTTAGGTAGTTTTGTTTGGAAGCGTATGTAACAGGGACGGACTCAGGTTATTTTAGCCCCAAAATTTTTGTGTGATTCTATTTTTTAACTTCAATTTTAGAATCTGAAAATTTGGGGTTTCCTACATAAAAAAGATGCTCTTATTGAATATCGATAAATTGTGCCATTTTTGAATAAAATCAAACTGAAGAATTTGTCACATTGTCACACGCATTTAAATGAATTGTTGAATAATTAACCATGGCAACGAAAAAACTAATTTAATAATTGGTAAATTTTACATAGATACATATTTCTATTGCAACATAGCTAACATTTAGGCAAAAACAAAAGAAATAAATTTTTTCTACGAACGAAATTAAAATTTGTTTAAAAAATAAGACATACAGTTGGATATACTTAAAACTAGCTTTACAATAAGTGTTCAAATAAATTCCCATTTTGTTGGATACAGAGTCTCGCTCGACGAACAAATGATTGCGTAGCCCGAAAAGTGGAAAACCTTTTTCTTCTTATTTCATTTGCAGCCTGATGGATTCCTTGAAGTAAATCTTCTTGAGTATTTACTTCAGTCGAGTAAACTAGGTCTTTTAATGACCCCAAAAATAGAAATCCAACGGATTTAGGTCAGGTGAACGTGGCGGTCACGCTATAGGACCTCCTCGGCCTAACCTCCTGTCTGGAAAATTGACGTTCAACCAATTTCGAATATTGCGTCCAAAATGTGCAGGGGGCCATCATGTTGAATTAAGACGATTGGGAAGTACAATAGGCCCAATTACTTGATCCCCAATTACTCCTGCCCATAAGTTTAATGAAAATCTATGTTGGAAATTTGTATGGCGAACTACTTTTGGATTTTCATCTGACAAGTGATGCATGTTATGGAAATTAAAAGCACCATTCCTAGTAAATATTGACTCATCCGACCATAATATTCTAGAAATAGTGTTTTCATTTGCTAATATCCACTGGCAAAACTCGATTCGGGGTAAAAAATCTGCCTTTGTTAAATGCTGCACCCGTTTAAAATTATAAGGATGTAATCCCTCCATTCTTGTCATTCTTCCTATCTAAAATTATTATTTTTAGGATAACTATCAAATAGGTATTCATAAATTTTTCTTACTATTGATCCAGGTATATCAATATTTTCTGAAAGATGTCGTATGCTTATTTGCGGATTATGTTCAAACATATTTAAAGCAATATCCGTTCGATGATTTCCCAGTGGCCTTCTTGAGCCCTGCATGCGCTGAAAACTTCCATAGTTTGACAAATTCCGGTAAATATCAGTAAATATTCGACGTCCAGGTACTATGCGATTGGGAAATCTTCTTTGATATTCTCTTACGGCTGCCAATGAACTGTCAGTCAGTTCTCTGTCTGTAAATCTTGGCATTTTAAATCGATTACATAAAAATTTTGATTTTAATCTAGTAATTTTACACTGCTAACAATGTCAGCTTAACGTCAAAATAAGTCATAACAAATCAAAACCACTTTTGTTTGCAGTCATGGCTAACTATGTATAATCAACAATTCATTTAAATTCGCAGTACATTTCCTATCATGTGAAAAATTCTTTAGTTTGATTTTATTCAAAAAGGGCACAATTTATCGATATTCAATAAGAGTGCCTTTTTTTATGTAGCAAACCCTAAATTTTCAAATTCTAAAATTGAATTTCAAAAATAGAATCACTCAAAAATTTTGGGGCTAAAATAACCTGAGTCCGTACCTGTTACATAAGCTTCCAAAAAAAGCTGTCTAACATTGTTAATATTTTTAAATCCAGCATAAAAAACTAGGCTAGAATACCAAATTTTATGTCTTTATCTCAACACGTTTCGGAAATATTAAGGAAAAACCATCTTCAGGGGAGCCCCTTTAAAAGACCGTAGCTCCCTTAGGGACGTTTGTCGACCTATGTTTATATAATATTTATATTTTCTTCCTATTTTAAGCTCTAGAAACCGCTGGTAGAATATTGCTCACTTTTTTCGGGACACCCTGTATAAAGTATGCATATAACAATATACAGGGTGACTTTGAAGTTGAGTCATTAATTTTCAGATAATGATTGTAGAAGGAAGATAAACCAAAATATGTGTGTAAAAATAAAGAAAAAATTAAAAAAAAAATTACATTGTTTTATAAAGTATCCTCCCGACAAGTATTTCAGTGCGGACCTGTATTTGATCGTGAGGTCCCCTGTGAGGTCTTAAGTCACCTGATTCACGAGCCCGTTGTACTACATTAACAAAGGCACGAGGGGTTGGTTGCACTCGATTGGGAAACCGATCCGCATAAATATGTGCCATTTTTTATTTCGTTTGAGCCACGCAACAGACACCACTATTCACTCACGCGTTACCGACTGACACTGACTGTATACAAATGAATAAAATAATTGTAAAAACATCGTTCCAAATTCTTTCGCTTTTTTGTTTCCGATGTGATGAACCGATAAGGCGGATTCTATCCGTTGTCGCCAAACACGAGCACATAATATTATTATTGAGACAGGGCGGTACTCAAACTTCCAAAGGGCTATAACTTTGTTACTTTGATTTTACCAGAAAAATGGTAAAGGAAAAAACATTTCTCTTGATCAGATCTACTCACTGTTAAAATAAATGACTCAACTTCGAAGTCACCCTGTATAAATATAAAGGATCGGATTCCGAGATACACGGTGTCAAAGTATTCAAAAACTGTAGCTTTTTTTCAAAGATCTTCGTGCCGTTTTTTTTAAATTTTTACAGTTATAATCATTGCAATAAGACGCTAAATTAGCACTTACTTTAATTACGTATTCCAGTAGCGTCTCGGGAACAAGTCTTGTGAATAATATTGACAAAAAATGTACACCACAGTCATTTAAAAGAATATATAGTTTTTGCGAAGTACTCACGTAAATCTTAGTACCTTACCTAGTTTTCGACGAAAAGAATAAAATCCACTCCATTACAAGTCGAAAAATTGTTAAAATAAAATCGATCTAATTTCTCTGATGCAAAATATTCAAAGATCCCTTTGTCGATTTTTTTAAATTTATACAATATTAATCGTTGCAATAAGACGCTAAGTTAGCACTAGCTAGAAGGTAATTATGTATTCTACCGACGTTTCGGGCGGAGGTCTTGTGAATGATATTGACAAAAAGATGTACACTACTAACTTTTAAAAATATATATTTTTCCGAAACAGTCAGTATAACTTCGTAACGTACTCAGTTTTCTACGAGAAAAATAAAATCCACTCCTTTATAAGTTGAAAAATTATTGCAATAAAATCAATTTAATTGCATCATTTCACCGATGCATAGTATCCATCATTAAGTCATTTTTTAAAATTTAAGGAACGGAAAGTAACAGCAATTTTACAATATACTAATTTTTGAAACAACCACCTACCACTTATATGCTAGCATTCGCTGTCATCTTTTTTGACATATATTGAATTTGGCTTTATTTTTTCATCGAAAACGAAGTAAGATACGAAATGATACCAAGAGACATAAAAGTCATATATTTTTTCAAAAAGCATGTCGTATTTATTTGGGTCAAAATTATTCGTGAGACTGATCCTCAAAACGCATCTACAATTCATAAGTATCTTCTAGTTAGTGCTAGCTTAGCATCTTATTGCAGTTAACAATACTGCCAAAATTCACCTAAACCGGTAAAAGGAACTTTGAGATGGCATTCATAAGATAAATAAAATTTCAAGTGCTAATTTTGCATTGGAGAATTAAAGTAGAATAAATAAAATGAACTAAAAATGAAAAAAGAATATTATCCGCTAGAACATATCTAAACAGTAATGAAGCTCCTTCACAATGAGTTTTCAAATTAAATCGTGTTGCACCCTCTTCCTATCCTGCTTGTGAAACACCCTTTTATTTGAGAAACTGAGATAAAGGAGCTTCATTATCGTTTAAGTATTTTAAGGGGGGAAAATATTTTCAAGACTTTAGTTCAGTTTACGAGCAGCTAAATAACAAATTGTCTTTAAAAACGTTTTTTTTCTTTTTGTTTTATTTATTTTTTACTTGTTAGTATTCATGATGTGGAATAACTTCCATATGTTTTATAAATACTACTCCATAAAACGTCATCTTGGAGCGGCCGCTAGATTGGATTTGGAATGACGACACTGCTTATTGCGTTTCTCTCTTCAAGTCTTTCTATTTGATGTTCATATCATCGGGGTGACTGAAAAATTTAAATCAGCATTTTGCTGCGGATTTAGACGTTGCTATGTTTATGTGTTTCTTTCGTCAAGCCCGTTTATTTATTACCCTTGTATTTGGGGTAGCTATGAAATACGTAAGCCACCATTTTGCTGCGGCTGCCTGGTTGAATCTGAATTATGCCACTTTGCTTATTGCGATCCTTTCATCAAGCCTTTTGTTGACACCCATATCGTAGGGGCGGCTATTTTTCAGCGTCGATATATTGGATCTAAAATGGCGTCACTTTGCTTATTGTGTTTCCCTGCACAGACCCTTTTCTTTGATATCCATATCATAGGGGTTACAATGGAAATGTTGAGTCGGCATTTTGTAGCACACGCCATATTGGATTCAAAATGGCAGCAGTTAATTTATCTTGTATCGTCATGCAAACCAAACGTGTGTACGAAATTGAAGCTCAATTGGTTAAGGTTAATTGATTGAAAATGTTTGTTCCAAGATTTGTACCAAACATACATACATACGAAAATACTAACAAACAGATCTACGTAAATCAAAGCTTATAAATATAGGCAAAGTGTATTTGATGTCTAGTAGATATTCCTGAATTTGATAAGATCATTCGCGTAAGTGCTGTTAGTCGATCTCTGATCAACGGGTAGAAACAAACTGTCATTTTTTCCTACTTCGCAAATACCACCACAAACATATTTCTATTGTCATGATATTTATGTAAGTACTGCTGTATTTGACATTGGGAGAGTTTTCTATATGCGGCTTCATATGCAACGAGTCCTTTTTTTAAAAAGTTCAATGATAGTGGTTTTCCCAGTATGCATCATTTTATTATCCTCCATGATGATCTGACTAATAAAACCACATGTATTGACAGATCCTCTTTACTGTAAACCTTTCAATCACAAAGGTGATCTTCTTCAGTACAATGACAATATATTTGGTTTATCTGTCTTCCAGGAGTTTGTTTTTTCTCTTCATTATCAAATTCCTATGCAGTGTGTTACTACAATAGTCTAAAAGTCCCGTAACATTCTGAGATTGCGCAATGCAAAACCAGCATAGCCCACGACCGCCTGGTGTACAGGAAATACTCATTCCCAACAAAGCACGTCCAGCCCTCCAACACGACATTAGGCTATCCCCAAAAACACCAAAAGCCCTCAAATGTCGCAACACATCGGTTAATTGTTATACATTCTTCGACTAAAATGTCGCGAGAGCTATGTTTTGTACCTGAAACGCGAGTAATACTACTTCAACATCTAAAGGAAGTTGTTTGTCATGTGAGAAAATAATATAAGACACAACAGTTTGGTCTTGAGATGGCAAAACAAAGCAGCAGCGCATTTAAATCCCAACGATAAACAACGAGAAAAAGCCTGGATGAAGAACTCATGGTTCATAAGTAAGGTTGGAGACTATCAACTAAACTTCTTCTTAAAAGATATTAAACCAAATTGGGCCAAAAATTGGGCCGACATCACATACATATCGGAATTTTGTAATGGGGCAGTACATAACAAACATCCTTCGCATGCGTACCAGTGATCGTTTAGTCTCATATTTTATGTGTACTGTCAACTCAACTGGTCACAAAAGACGGTAGAAATGTCAGATTGCTCAATGAGAACGATCGGATGGATTTGATTTGCACCTGAACCTTATGCTTTTCTCTTGTAGAGTAGAGCATACAGAAACTGCCTTTATGAGCTAGATTGGTACAGCTCTAGTAGAAGATTCAAGCAATGTATACTAATTATGATGGAAAGAATGGACAGACCACTGTATATAACACTAGGAAAATTTTCGCCCTTAACTCTGCAAACATTTGTTGCTGTAAGTCATTTTTGCAATACACCTGATCAAAATTAATGCACCACCAAAAACTAACTAAAAGGATATTTCGGATATTTGTATTTTGGAAAACATCTTGGTGCTTCCTATGAGTTAACTGCGGACTGTATTAGCAGACTGCGTGTTACTTATAATTTTTTTAACAAAGCTTGTGACACTACTAGAAAAGCGAATATTTAGACCAAACTTTAGTATTGTCAAAGTTACGGTCGTTTTTCCAAAAATTACTGATGATTAATATTATTATTTCAGGTTACAAGAATATCTTTCTCCTATGCAACTGTTTTGAAAGCCGTTGACTGATATGACACAAAAGTCTATATAATTTTATTGTTCGTGCAATGTACTAATTAATAAAACAAAAGCTCTAATAATAATACTTTAATTTTCATCTTGACCTACCACACTAAATCATAGCAGCTAATTGCAGGACAATTCACCTTTTTGTACTATAGAAACCTCGCACAGAAATGAAACTATCATTAACTTTTATGAATTTATCATCTTTATAAATGATCTTAATAATCATTTTTCATTATGTCACACAACTTGAGACCAACAAAGTAAACATTTCTGGTACATCCTGATAAATAAACCTCTCAGTCACCAGATTGGATAAATATTGTTTTCCAAAGCAATTATCTTGGCTCCAACACTATCTTTATTACACATCAACGAGCTTCTTTCCTGTACGAGCAAGCCAATCAACAGCTTGCTGATGACAGCACTCAAAATGTAGGAATTCAAAGTACCAAGCCAATCTCTACCGATGAACTACAGATGGAAAGCAACAGACTAGTAGCGATTTCCTCTCTCACAACAGATCCTGAAGTTATCACTGATGGGGCGTAGCAATCTGGTCGGAGTTCAAATTACCGAGCACTTGGTTTGGCACAGACACATCCTGCCAATCGCGACAGCCACTGGTAAAAAGTTGTGTCATTTGCTTAGAGTTTTAAGGCTCTTCTCCATATCACCTCCTCACTCTGTACAAGGCCCAGATAAGGCCTAGCCTCGAGTACTGCTCACATATGTGGGGTGCTGCCTCTTAGACTATACTGTCGGTACTCGATACTGTTCAGGGCGTTCCGACTGGTCGAGTACACTTCAAACATACGCTCTTGGGTCCCTTCCACACTAACAGACCTATAAGGCGTCCTCCTCTAATGCCAGCTCTTCCAAACCTCGTATCTCCAGAACTGGCGGTTCCTTTGTTCTCAAGATTTGAAATTGTGGAATAAACTTCCTGATAAGGCTTTTTCGGGTTCTACTAACCAATGTTAGTTAACAAAGTAGATCAGCAGGTTGTCTTTAAGCCTCTTACAGCAGTCACGGTGCCTCGGTATTTAAGTTTCTGCCGTCGCTGTTGCATCAGTATACAAAAATCTGTATACAAACGTTAAGAATCTGCACAATATCTACTAATGCATGAAACTTTTCAATGAATGATTGGGCTGAAGTGGAATGAAATTGTGGCTCCAAATGAGCCAAACCTATTCACCAAAGTTGATCGTCGAATGTAATGAATCCGGCGATGGCTTTGATGTAAATAGTAGTCACGCCAGAACTCAAGTTCAATACCAATAGCCCCAGATTCTCAAAATCTTTTTGGAGCTAGTAGTCGCTGCGGATTTAAATACAGAAATGCCTTTTTAAAAGACTACTTTCATTAAAATCCGACCCTGATTCATTCTTATTTCTATCCTTCAAAAGCACCCACTTAGGTAACTCAATACCTTTAATTATCCTACATATAATTACAAGCATTTACCGTCTTTATACAACACTCACAAAGCAGCACAATACCACATCACAAAACAATGAAATAATCAATAGAGGAGTTAGTAGTAATTGCCAACCATAAATGTTATATAAAACAAGAACCAATAGAACTAACATCAAACAGTCTCCAAAATGAAGCCAGGAAACGATGACTTTTTCAAGAAGATTGAGGTCTTCAATAAAATCGCTGGAGTTTGGTTGGAGCCAGAAACCTCTTCCAAGATGAAACGGATGGTACACATCATCTACAATACCTTTCTGTTTCTGTGTAGTCTGTTTTTCTTCGTATGCGAGATACTTGTGCTGAGCCATATCATGCAGGTTTGTAAAATAATACTGTTTTGTTGTTTGGATACAGCTAATCAAAATGTTTCACCTTCATTTGTGACATACCGTTCAATAGTATTTTGTAGCTTAAATGCAGAAGTCTGGTATGTCCAAAAATGCAATTTTTGATAGGTGTTTTTGTTTTGCATTCCTTTGACGGTATAATTCAAGACTGTTCTCATTTTGCTGCAGCAGTGAGTGTGTTTGTTAAAATTGATATGGTTGCTTGGGTCAACCCTTATAATCATTCCCAGTATCTCGTCTTTAACAATTTAGTTGTGTATCTGCCTGTTTGGCTGTAAAAATTGTATCACGTGAGCTGGACACTGAAGTGGTCTAAACTACAGACTGGTGGAGTTGCATACTTTTTTGTAACATATAACTCCTGGAACAAGTTATTGTTCTCCAGAAAAGATCTACAAGATGTCGTTGTAAACCTCCTTTTATAATGCGCTAAAAATGTATTTTCATAGTTGAAGTAGGCTTGGTTAAATGGAAATGTGACAGTCAACAAGCAGCAAGTGCGGCTAGTCGCCAAAATACTGGGCATCATAACAACATTCGTCTACCCTTTCTCAATTCAGCTTTAGCTGAACATATCTGTAATTACATTTGAAGCTATTCATAAAGTATTTGAAGGAACTGCTGTTACAAAAATATATCTAAATATCTTTCAAGAATCCTAAATTTTGATCAATTACGTATCCTGTATTATTCCCTTGTAGCCAGTCACATCAAGCACGGGATTGTACTATGAGGTGCCGCTGCAAAAGCATTCATTACTGAGATAGAATTGATAGAAAAATGGACTATAGAAATAATTCATAAAAAAAGGTTACTCGCCCAACAGTAATGCTTTAGTCTGTATCCCATGTATTGGATCTTTCAGCAATTTTTCACTTGGTATTTTACAACATAAAAATAGAATAACCATAATAAAAACACAACAGAGCTACAATACAAGAAATAGATCCGTTGTGATTCGTAAACCACAAAAAAATACTTTGCTCAGAAGCCATATTTTTTTAGGGCCAAAGTTATATTATGAATGAAAACCGGATATAGTCAGAGAGACACCAGTTCGTTAGGTTTATTTAAAAGTAAGCTAAAGGAGTAGTTGATTGAAATTTCTGGAGTAAAAATACATCAATTTGTGATACTTACTAGCACTGAAATGAGACAATGTGAAGACATTACTTTTATACTGGTTATAAGGTTTTAAGGTGTCAAATCACAAATGAGATATATGTATTAGACACGCAAAGGGCTTGGCCTTCTGTGGGGTTCGTATGAGGTAAATTGCGTATTTCTGTAGGCTTTATTATATTTTAGAAGTAATAAGCCAAGAATTTTGAATTATAACCTGCAGGAATACGTGATGACGTATAGTGATCTTAACTACATGTTAAATTACTGTCTATTACATGTTTTCTGGTGTTTCATGTTGTTTGTGACTACAGAGGGTGTCCAAGATAAGGATCCTAGGCATGGGGATCACAATACCTGTGAGAGATACAGCTCAGGTTAAATTAGGAAAAGCCTGCGTTCTGCGTATTTACTTGCCGTTGAGAAACTTGTAAACATTTCATGCCTTACTGAGGTATTTGGGAAAAACTGAAATGTGGCCAAATAGTAGCACGTCCACATATCGAGCTTTTCTTCATTGCTAAAATAACCATCTGGCATCTTTGACGATAATAAAGCAATGTTAACAATAAACGAAAATAACAATACAGGTATTAACGTCAGGTCAAGCAACGCCCAGTTAAAAAAATAGAAAACAGAAAAAAAGCATTTTCCCTTGCAAACATGAAGATAAACGTAACACATGGATTTAGTAAATCCGTATAAAAAATGCTGTTAGGTACAGGGTGTACTTTTTTCGGATCATATAAAAAATTAAGCCGATGACGTTTTCTCAAAAACGAACTGTCAGGCACAAAACTTAAAAACACCATCATGTAGTGCCTAAAAAGTGCAAATGGAAAAGATTTATTAGTTTTTGATATTTTTTAAAATAAAGTCAGGAAAAGTAAAAATGGTGTTGCCAAAGGTTCTCAACGGCATGTAACTACTAACCAAAGATGACAACTTTTTACTATTTTAAGCTGTACCTCCCGCAGGTATTAATTGACATACCCCTTCGCTTGTACTGTAGTTTATTTGATTTATCGTTAAGCTATATAATTTTAGGAACTGACGGTATTAGTCGACCATATTACAATGATCTTCAACCACATGATAAGTTTTTTGGAGTTCTACGTTCTGATTACCAACCAACCGAAAATAGCTGAACTCAAAAAGATACTTCAAGACAAAAGATTTTCATACGAAGACTGCCCCATCTCAGGAAGTTTACTAAATAAGTCAAAATCCTTCTATCAACGGGTAGCGATCATAAGCTACATTCTGTATTGGATGGTGGGTACTTCAGCTCATATGTCGGCTCTAAAGGCTCTAAACGCAAACGCTCCAGGGATTTATTTTGAGCAAAATTTCACTTGTTATGAGTTTGTACCTCACCTTTTCTTGATTCCTTTTGAGACGGATACAACCAGGCATTGTAAAAATGCGCTCATTGGTATGGATTTTGGGCTGTGGATTATTGCTGGATATCTTGCAAGTAAGTTACTATTATCCTAATCTGTCTTTTTTTCAATGCCGTAGGCATACGGACAGAGGTCATATCGTGAAATTGACCACTGATCGAGTATTTAATCATATGGCCGCATTTCATGAAATATATCAGTATTCATTCGCCAGATCATGAAGTGCGAATGATAACAAATCATTTAACGATATGGTCAACCAAATGCGCGGGTAATTCATGAAGTGGTCAAGCATGTTCGACCAAATCGTAAAATAATTGCATTAATTATCGATAGAAGCGCTGGGAGTGCTTTGCATTTCTTCATGGTGGTCGTTAATAACAAAGTTGGTTTTCGAAGTGAAAACTTTCAATGTTCCATGCACACTATTATTCACTTATTTGAAGCACAAATCGTATCACGGCTAAAATAATGTGTTTATCTATTGAACTACTATATTATTCTGCTTATGTGAAATGTAAAGCTCGTCATTTTTACGCTATAAGCTAAATAAAGCAGTATAATACGAGTAATACTAATAATAATAATAATAATAATAATAATAATAATAATAATAATAATAATAATATAAATGTCATTTGGGCTGGACAAATGTAAGACCAGCAGGATGGAGAAGGGCCAGTGGGTACATCACGCGGGGTATGAAGTTACTGAGCGGCAAACCATCGCCGGAATGGAAGAGGGAGAAAGGTACAAATATCTTGGATATCTGCAAGCAAGAGGTCTGGATCATACAGCAGCAAAGCAGACAGTAAGTGACACCTACATTAAAAGAATCCGGTCGATACTGAAGACTATGCTGTCTGACAGGAACATGGCAAAAGCAGTTAACAACTATGCCACATCTGCAGTTTCTTATAGCTTTGGAGTGATTCACTGGACAGCAACAGAACTAAAAAAAACCTCAATATCAAAACCAGAAAAGAGTTCAGCAAATTTCGAGCACATCATCCACCTTCATCATTGGAAAGGTTCCACTTGCCTAGAAAGTTAGGTGGAAGAGGTATACCTGATCTAGTTATTAACCACAACAGGCAAGTAACAAACCTTAGGAACTACTTCCTCGCCAGGGCTGCGTCCAGTGAGATTCACCACGCTATCTTAAGGGCGGACAATAAGGCTACTCCTTTAAGACTGGCAGACCAAAACCTTAGCCTTAGCGTGGACCAGCTCATACCCGAGCAACAACTGCAACAATGGAAGAGTAAGGCATTTCATGGTAAATACCGCACCCTACTCGAGAGCGATAAGATCGATACCTTCGCATCCACTGCCTACCTCCGCTCTGGAAACCTGTTTGCTGAGACAGAAGGGTTCATATCTGCTATCCAAGATCAGGTCATCGCAACTAAAGTATATAAAAGAAACATAATGCGGGAACGACAAGACAATATCAGATGTCGTGTGCGCGGTGAAAAGGATGAATACCCGGATCACATCATCGCTGGCTGCTCAATGTTGGCACCGTAATCCTACCTAGACAGGCACAACAGAGTCGGAAAGATAATCCACCAAAGCCTTCGTGAAAAGTACATGGGATTGACAGAAATAGTGCCGTACTTGTAACGCTTCCTTTCCGCAAAAAGTCCAGAAAAGATGGAATGCAATGAAGATTCCAACTTTTCTGCACAATCACAGAAAGGGGGTTACCATTAGCTTCCGGTAGCTCAGTCGGTGGCATGAAGACATCTACAGGCGTGTAGCTGTGTGTCGACCATGGCATGGCTAGAGGATAGAAGAACAAACAGAACACAAAAATTTAACAGATTTTATTTAACAAAAAAAAAGGCATTTTCATTACATTACAATTTTACAAAAATAACAAAATAAGTTTTACATCTTTGGCGCTGCTATAACGCTATCGACTTATCTTTCGCTGGTCCATTTTTGCTCGACTGAAGCCAGGATGGCCAGGGGCTTGAAGGGGAGGTCCCAGTTATGAGGGGTGACCTCACATATAGTGGCTTCGTAACCAGTTGTAGGCGAAGTTAAAGGCGATGGCGCTGCCAAGGCACATGCGTGGGTGAAAATATTGGCCAAGGCTAGGCAAAGTGAAAGGGAAAGAGAAAGGGGGTGGCCCCAATCATTTTTGTCCTATACGGACACACATTCTAGAAAATTCTAGCACATGGTGCTATATAACCTTGTGCTACTGAGAAGAAATTTCTAGCCGTTGTTCGATCGGCGGCTCAAGTGAAAAAAAAGCGCGAGGAAGATCGCAGATCAGGAACTCCGCATCAAGCGCTCCAAGCGGAAAATTTTCCAAACAAAAAAGCTAGAGATGGGATTAATGAAATGATAATCGAGAAGTGATTTAATAAATACGATCGGACGGTGAAACCGTTACACTCGCCCCAACTTAACCAAAAAAAAAAAAATCGAAGAAGCATTTAAGAATTTTTTTTTTTTTTTACTAGGAAATTGAAAGTTATCACGGAAGGACAAATGTACAACCATTCGACCAGATAACAAGTAGTAAAAGTAAGGTAGAAACAAAAATGTTAGAAGAGAATTGGAAGAAAAAGGGATAGCCTCAAGTCTACCAAACAAGAGGGATGGTTATAGCACCAACTCGCTGAAAAGTACAGTGAAGTTGCACTTAAAAAAAACTATCATCATATGATGAAAAACCCAAAACATAAAACATCGTCATACCTAAGACGAGAAAAATAATAAACCAAAAGTTTCAGCAGTAGTCCAAGCACGAATCACAATGGCATCCAAAATGCACGACTGACTACTAAAAACTTCAAAACTAAGTAAGTACCTAAACCATAAGAGGTACTAAAAAAATAATAATCTTTCTCAAAACAATTGCCAGATTATCTCGCAATACTCCAAACCCAAAAAGATTATGATCTACAGTGATATTTTAAACCAATATCCAATATAAAAAAACTGTGCATTACTATTTTCAAAATATGAAAATCAAAAGAAATTAACAAATTCTATTAAGAATTCCAGTTATATAACAAAACAATTTACAAGTACTAAACCAATGAAAACTTGATCACGAAGGTATTTTAATCAAAAAAGATGTTAACTAAGTGCAGTTCTGATTCCACAAAAAAATTGTCGGGCGCCAGCAGTCTGTAAGACTACAAAATAATTCAAAATATTTTCAGAGAATTAAAGTATATAAGGGACATTCATGAAATATTGAAGTAAGATTTTCAAAGTCAAAATATAGCTTAAGTTCAATCAATGAACTAAAATTCAAGAGTAAGTTCAATCAAAATTTTCGGGTCATATGACAACATAAGAACCAGACCAAAAAAAAATTTGAAGTACAATATAGAAAAGAGCAAAATAAATTTCCAAAAAAACTAAGTGCAACACAAGTGCAACTGTAAATCTAATAGTGTTAAAATCATAAAGTGAAAGGAAATATTAAAGCTATATGAGCATGATTTTATAAAGGGTTCTCAAAAAAAATTAAAAGTAAGCAAAATATTAAAAGTTTCATGAGTAATAAATGAGAAACGAAGTGAGCATATGTAAAATGCAAAATAGCGAAACGAAAATCACAAGATATTTTATTAAATCATGATACATGAGAGTAATGCCGCAAGCAAAAATTGTATGCAAAAGACTACGATATATGTAGGTGCAAAATTGGAGTTATAAAAAAAATCTAGTGAACAAGAAATAGAAATAAATATGATAGGTAAGAATTCGAATTTTGATTTAAAGCAAAAATATGAGAGAAAGACAACTTTCTAGGGTCACCATAGGTGCATTCCAAAGCCCTAGACAAGAATGTCTATAGTCTATGGAATATTCTCATGTAGATCACTGATATCATCAGCGCACTTCAAAGTCTACACTGAGAATAACCATAACATTGTAAAATGAAAGTTAAGTTCAAATATGAAATATTACAAGATTAGAAAAACTATAATAACTTACCAGTGTAAAGTATGAAAAGAGAATTACTATACTGAATCTATAAGAATTGGCGATTACTTCAAGTCAAGACAGAAATTGAAAGAAATAAGAAGTCGGAAAAAAAGATTATGAGAGCAGACTATCAAAACAAATGCAATAATGCAAAAGCAAAATCACCAGATATTTCAAAATCTATAGCGAAACATGAAAGCAATGTCGCAACCAAGCTCAAGACTTAGCAATACGCACAAATGTGCACAAAGTCTGAAAGCATATATGAAAAATCTCAAGAAGGAATTGACAATTACTTCAAATCAAATTGAACTGATTGAATTGAACTGAGACATAAATAACTATATCAAAAGTGAGTTTTACTTATACGCCAGAGGTTTCAAGAGTTTATCAATACGCACAAATTTGCAACTAGGCGGAAAGCATATATGACAAGTCTCAAGAAGAAAATAAAATGCATATGAAGAAAACACTTTCAATTAAAGAAACTGTGGATAGTACAAGACCTTCAAGGCATACATCGCAACGAATCTATGTAACTATCCAGACTACAAAATACTGTCAAAGTTCAAAACCACTCAAAAATATGTAAACAAACATCAAAAGTTTGAACCAAAAATCAATGTAAGTCTGTGCTCTCGAAGAAAGTTATAATGAATTCAAAAAGAGGATACTATCAAAAACTTCAAAAGTAATAGACTTCAAAAATAGAAGTACGTAAGTATGTAAAGAAAATTCAGAAAATATACGCATAAAAACATTATAAAATATTATACACAGTATTTGTCACATGATTTAGATCGGGAATGCAATTTAAATTTTGAGTACACTCAGAAAAATGAAATATTCAAAAGATGAACACATTAAATTGGAATCAGAAAAATAATGATTACTTGTAAATTTTGTACATGGTGGACTGACGTAATGGTTCAAAAGGTTGAAAGAACAACGATGACTAATGTCCAAAGTAAACATTCACCTGCCTTTTACAGGAAATTAGCTTAACAATTATCAAAGGAAATTCTTGTCCGTTCGCATCTGTACTTGGAAATAAATATAGGAAAACCTACTCGCTCCAATGTACAGATCGAAAAACTCGCCCCCTTCGATTGAG